TTTAAAATTATCAAAATCAACCAACCAACACTCAACAAAATTTATTACAAATATAGCAACAACATATTAAAGTGCATATAATATTTATTTTACATTTTTACGAATTTCTGGTCAGCTTCCTTATATTGAAACACTTGTTTTGCAAAATATTCTATAACTACAAATATAATTACAGAATGCGTTCATGTGTGTTTTTAAAAATCACCATCGCAACAGAATGCATATTTTTACTGCAGTTACAATAAGTTTGTCTTTGTAATTTACCCTGAAGATAATCTTGGAAAAGATCGAAAGTACTTACTTGGATTAACAAAAACTATGGTGCCTTCCTTGATGAATTTCATCTTAACATCAAAAAACTGATAAGAGAACTGGAAAGGATCAGTATAAAAATAAGTAAACACAATATGTCTGTATTATTCAATGAAACATGTTTGAATGAAAATATGTTGACTAAATATAAACACACCCACACACGCACACATACATACATACATACTTCATCTTGTGCTTTTCTACTGATCTATGCCTGCAGATTCAATTTATTTTTTCTTTAATGATTGTCTCTTTTTTTCTGATTTTTTTAATCGATTTCACCCCAAGCAAGGCAGTAAAGTCACTAAGACACAAGGCTTACTGAGTGTGAAAGAATTAGCAACAGAAACATTACTAATGAGCGAGAAGAGAAAAGATAGTGTTTGGAATTGCATTTAAATTTTTGGAGATTAAAGCTGGAAAGCATGGAGCTGGAAGGGAGTTCCACAAGTGAGAAGTGTGAGAAAAGAAATTGTTAGCATAGAAGTTCTGGCTACATCTAGCTAGCTCAGCTGTAAATTGATGAGATCTCAACATCAGTTTAGTAATGTGCTTAAATTAAAAAAGTCTAGGTACTATAGTGAAGAGCTCATCTGAACAATTACCATGAAAGTATTTATAGAAAAGGCACAGAGAGGCAACCTTACGGCAGTGGGAAAGCAACTGATGCTAAGCTGGCAGATCAGGACTGATAATATTGCTGATTCTTTAAGGAGCTCAAGGTAAATAGCAGGGGCACTGAATCATATGTGGCAACAATATTCTAAGTCTGTATTTCTGAGATGATGTATTATGTACATTATTTACATTATTCGGACTATTGTCCTCATCTTTGTCGCCATATTTATTACAACGTTTCGGCTGTTGTATGCTCCAGCCTTCTTCAGGTGGTTGTAATAAATATGGTGACAAATATGAGGACAATAGTCCAAATAATGTAAATAATGAATATTCTAAGTGTTGGCGAATAATAGACTTATAGATATGTAGGATAGATTCTGGAGGGAAATATTATCTTGCATACAAGTGAAGCAACTTTTTTAGCAGCTGACCTAGTAATGTATTCATTATAGTCTTTCCACTTCATGTCAGCTGAGAACACTCTCTTGAGAAGGTGCAATGAGTCACTTTCCTGGAGGTTAGCATCAGCCATGCTGATAGATGACAGAGACGGGTCTCTCAAAAGATTAATGGAGAGAAGTTTAATTTTGGAGGCGTTAAAATTAACAAGCTATCTTTTACTCCAGTTAACAATAGACTTGAGGTCATTAGACTGCTATGGATGTCCCTCTCAGGAATAAACTAGATGTGCTCTGTCCCAAAAAGAAGTGCTTTAGATTGAAGCCTAGGACAAACTATCAATGTTCTTGACTTATATTCATTACATTAGAAATGTTTCTAACAGAATATATTTTAAAGTGTTTTGGCTGATAAATATTTAGGTTGTTCATATTTCATAGGCCTACAGCAATAATATTAAAAATCTGACTTGATATTTGCTTAGTCTAGTGGAAAAAAAAGAAGTCAGACAAATGTCAGTCTTCAGCTTTTCCCTTTTAACATCTGTAGTGCTTAATGTTAAGCATTTACAATAAAATCAAGCATACCTTTCCTAAATATATATCAAACAAGATAAATGTAGTGGTTGATTGTGGCAGATTGTTGTCTACAGAGTTAATCCTTTTGCTTTCAGAGGCTAATTAGTAAATCACAACTTTCTGAAATTGATAGATAACCTAGAGGCTATCAGTGAAGAATTTTCTTTCATCTTATTGACAAAAGCAGGATTATAAATCACCAAACTTGATTACCATTTCTTATAGTGATTCTTCATCATATTTATTAACTAAACCATATTTTGGAGCCATGTTAAGATCACTCTCTCTCTCTCTCTCTCTCTCTCTCTATATATATATATATATATATATATATATATATATATATATATGAAAAAGACAGAAGGAGAACTTTTAAAAGCCAATGTGTTTTGTCTTCTGAGGGACTTTATCAAGGCAATGCTTGATAAAGTTCCTCAGAGGACAAAACGCATCAGCTAAGATAAATTTTCCTTTTGTCTTTTTTTTTTATATATATATATATATATATATATATATATATATATATATATATATATATATATATATATGCACCCACACAAATGCATATCTGAATAATGACAAAAAGAATACTTATCTTAGTCAACACATTTCGTCTTCTTATCAAGCATTGCCTTGATGAAGTCCCTCAGAGGACAAAATGTGTCAGCTAAGATAAGTTTTCCTTTCGTCCTTATTCATATTATCCTTTTACAGATATGCTCTATCAAAAATTTTTACACACACAAAATATACATACATATATATATATATATATATATATATATATATAAATAATAGGAAGTTTATTTGTTCATTATACACACATTCAAGCCCTTTTGTACAGTCCTCAAACTTGGTGCTGTAAGCTTGGATGCGGTATGTAAGCTTGGATGTGGTAATGGATAATGGCTTGGAATTGTTAGAAGTTCCAATTGACATGAAAATACCCTTCAGAAAAATAAAGAATCCATCTCTTCTCCCTTTGCTATGGGTTAATTAGTGAGAGTTGTACCATTAAATTATTATTATCTCAAAAAATAGAAACAAATTCTTAAAATTTAAAGAATATTTTCTGGCTTTAAATAACTTGCAAAGGGTTGATAAACTGTAGAAAACGAATGAATGAATCAGTCAGTTAAATTTGGTGTGCATAATTATTGGATCTGGTGGAAGCTGTTTTTTGTTCATCATGGAGAAAGAGTCACTCTACCACTTTTCTATTATACATAAATATCTGTTGTTATCTAGATTAACACATATTTTGGGTGTAAGTTTATAATTTCTCTTTTATTAGGTACCTCCACAGACTTTCTGCAAAAAAGTTAAAAAACACATTTTAAATCATTTATATGTCTTCTTTGAAGTTAAATTTTGGTTTTATTTGAAAGATATTAGTTTAAAAGTTTATCTGTAAAAAAAAAAAGAAAAATAGTTTTACATCTTTAATAAAAAGTACAAAGAAACTCACTTCTGCCTAGTTTGATTAGCTAATTTGATAAATGCTGACAAAAGTAAAATTAAAACATTTGAAAAATCTCTTAAAATTCAATATCTCTCTCAGACGTTAATTTCAAAGAAAAATAGTAAATTTGTGGATTGATTAATTAGATTTTGTAAAACTATTACTTAACTTTTCGCTTAAAATATAACAAAAAATACATTTTTTCCCAGCAGTGTATAGCCTCATTTGTCAACACGTTCAAACATCAATCAACTTTGCTCCCTGCCCCTGGCTTTCAAAAAATTATGCCAAAAATCAAATGCAAAAAACCAAACCTACCACAATCAAGAAACTTATTTGTAGAGAAAAACTTACAAATATTTAAACTTTATGAAACTTTCAATAAAAAATGTTAAAATATTTTATTACACCTAAAATGATCTTTTTAATTATTTTCATAAATTTATTAAAAGAAAAATAAACTAGAAAATTTGATAAAGAAATTATTGAATTTATCATTAATTTATGTTTACTTTTTTATTCCTTTTCATTACTAATGTTATAAAACATTTGTGATACCTCCAAACATCATGCAAAACCCTGCCCCAAAATGAGGAAATTATCTTAATGAAAATTTCGACCTTTATTCATTAATGAATTAATTTTTCTTATTGGAAAGCTTACTCTATTATAAAACTTTGTGTAAATATTTTCAGATCAGTTTAACTTATTTCATGCTATCCAAGTGATTTCTTTATTTTTACTATATTTCTAACATTATTATAATGATAACAAAAACTTTATTAAACAGACAAAAATACTATTACTACAAGTAGATTAGTCAAAACTTTCAATAATTTTTGGTGGCCCTGAAAAGAGCCATTTTTTTTTTGTATGTTTTTTTTTTCCTTCTTTGTTTCCTATTGGATTGGTACTTGTCTGTTATCTTTATCATGAATAACTTGTCATGGGACAACATAATTCAGAATTTTTTTTTTGATTTTTCTTTTTGATCTTCTGTAGAATAAAAATCAAACAATTGTAAAATGAAAAAAATAGATATAGTTATTTAAAATAAAATGTTCACAGTCGAAAATGGCATTAAGGTTTACACTTTTTTAATTCTTCAAACACATACAGTATATTTTATTAAAATTGGGTATCAGCAAAATAATGTTTGATGTTTTTCTTGAATTCCTTTCTTAAGATTTTGGATATGTTTTTGATGTGCTCACTGTCATTATTAAATATTTTTTTAATGATATAAACCTTCCATGTTTTAGCTTTATAAAAATGTAAAAATTAGGAACATCCAACATGTACTAGTACAGATTAGCCACAAGTTAAGTAAAGGTAGATAAAACTGACTGGAAAAAATACTTACACCAAACCTGGAAATAAAAAAATATTCAATATAAAGTTCATTTATTAATTTTTTTTACTTGTCAAAAGGAAAATGATATTGGAGGTGCCTACCATTTATTGTTAATATCTGGGCAAGAAAAGTATTATTATGCAGTTATTGTACATGCCTTTGTTTTGTGTCACTGAAAATGAACCTTGATGCATGTGAATGAGGGCAATCACAAGCATATTGCAAAATAGACATTTCTTAGTCATTTCATTTCTTTCATTTTCATAGGTAGGGTGGCATTTCTGGACTCTCTCTCTCTCTCTCTCTCTCTCTCTCTCTCTCTCATATATGATGGGAATATGGATGGAACCAAATACAGGGCAATCCTTGAAGAAAACCTATTACAGTTTGCAAAAGACTTGAGACTAGGATAGAGGTTCACCTTCCAGCATGTCACTGACTCTAAACCTACAGCCAGATCTACATTTGAAGCATATTAATGAGTTAAATCCCTGATATACATCAAACTGAAGATCTGTGGTAAGACTTGTGAATTGATGTTCACAGACAGTCTCCATCCAATCTAATTGAACTTGAGCTATTTTGCAAAGAAGAATGGGCAAAGATTTCAGTCTCTGGAAGTGCAAAACTGGTAGAGTCATGCTCCCAAAGACATACAGCTGTAATTGTGGCAAAAGGTCGTTTTGCAAAGGGTGAGTGAAACTTATGCATTCAAGAAATGACTACTTTGTTCTAATTATTGTGTGTCACAATAAAATGTAATTTGTACCTTCAAATCTTTGTGCATTTTGTGTTGATCAAATGTTCAAAGACTATTTAAGTCAATTTGTATTCCAGTTTGTAATACTAGAAAATGTGAAAAAGTTCAAGGGATGTAATTACTTATACAAGGCACTGTATGTGTGTGTGTGTGTGTGTGTGTGTGTGTGTGTGTGTGTGTGTGTATATATATATATATATATATATATATATATATATATATGAAAGCAAGACCAATAAACTTGTATAAAAAGGTAAAAAAAAAAATATAATCACAAACTCACTAACACTTACGTTTCATCCACTGGACTCTTCTGGCAGGGGAGCAAACAACATAGCTCCAATCAACAGCAATTTTATACAAATGCAGGAAATTATCCAATTTTCTTCAATTTCTTAATCTGAAACCATGTTTGCCAGGGGGTATTTCTTTGCTTTAAGTATGGTAACAAAATCTCCCTTCTTTTATTTAAAAGATGTTATTGTAGTCATCTTCTCCTCCTGGAACAGTGAACAAAATGGTGCCTCAATACTTTAACCATTCGTTTTTCTTGGAATGTTCCATTTAGTGATTAGGTGAGTAGAACTATGTTCTTTTATTTACCATACATATTTTATCAGAGATATGCTATTCTTATATGTCATCAAATTAAATGAGGTTCAATGATTATATAGGTATTGCTTAAAAGGACACTCTGTGGCACCAATATAGATTTTATCCAGGTTTCCTTGGCTTTTAACTACCGCTCTATAAACAATGTTTCTTGTTTGACAATTACCATCTAAAGGGCAATCATCCAGCCTTTTACAGTTGCATTTGCTGTGTTTCTTATATTTTAGCTGATTACTCAATCCTTTTTTTTATTTTGCCTCTTTATCATTTTTCACATATTGGGCATACAACTCTAACTTAGTTTAATTGTGTTTCTATTAAATATTTTATATAACATGTTACTTCCGGAGAAGTGTTTATTCAGTAAATAAAAAAAATTCCAATTTTGGTTTTCACTGCTATATTAAATGGTGTTATAAACCATATAATGTTTCTGCTCCTTACTTTTTTATCCTTTGCATTTTTTCTTCTATCTCTTTCCCCTTCCATCAATGATGGAGTCCACATTCAGTATTTTAATTAGACTCTGTAGTCTTCCCAGTTGAAGGCCCTTTTGCACTCTTCCTTGACACTGTTAAACACCTCAGGAATAGAGGAATTTGTGGATAGTCTATACTCAATTCCATTAGGAATTTGTTAAATTATGCATGGGGGCTGGTTGGAACCTGTATTAATATAATCTAACTCACTGTTCAACTTCTTAAATGTGGTCACCACATCAATACTGAGGTCTAATCTCACATCAAGGTACTCTACAATTTTTATGTTAGCTTCATTGGTGAAACTGAGCTCATTGAAGAGATTTTTCTTATTTGTTCAATTATTCCCCTATTGTTACCTTTTACTATTATCAATCTGTCGTCATCCTGGAACTGGCCATTATCTTCATTATCTACAATTTTACTAATTTTCTCCAACAGCAGCAACCCCACCAGATTGTTCACCTCACTTCTGTCAAATGCTCCTATTATGATATCAAAGTTTTCATCCCTTTTGTGATTTTTCTGACAAATTTAATGATTGAAGTACAAAATTGATTTCATACTTAATGGATAAAAATCCTTTACATTGTATTTTATAAGAATATAATTCTCAGGATTTTCTATATTCTTAAATCATTTAATACAGTCACTTGTATTTTTCCACTGGCTAACGTTTGTGGCAATACATAGGATGTTGCAAATATTTCAAAGCAAAGTTTTTCATCTTCAAATTTATTTCTTTAAATAACTATCTGTGCTTTTTAAGAATATTTATGAAAATTTATATAGTGAAGCTTGAAAGATCATATTGGTCAGAGGGACCCCAAAAACCTCAATGATTTGAAGATTGTTTGCAAGGATATGTGGGCCAAGATTTTTTTGTAAAGAAGGGTAGGCAAAAATTTCAAAATAAAGTTGGGAAGAATGTCTCTTGAGATGTAATTGCAAATGAGGACAGTGCAACGGGGTAGGAATATAAGAAACCAATAAACTTGGATAATTTTTAACTTTAGATAAATATAAAACTAAGATAATACTAAATTTCTTAATCCTTTATTTGAAACTGTATTAAATAAAATTTTCCATATTTTAAAAGCATAGACTCTAATTAGCTTCTTTTAGACTTTGTGTTTAAAAATGAAGAATCAGTGAGAATGCAGAAATTTTCTTCTGAAATTGTGGTTCAAAATTTATGCTTTCTGTCATCAAAATTGATTGTAAATATTGGATCAATTAAGACTGATGTATATAGAAATTTTGCATACTTCATCTTTGGAAATATCCTCTTATTTAAATATGGTGTGTCAAAGGTTGAAATTAATTATCAAGTAAAAGATTTTAAAGCAGAATATTTTTCAAGTGTGGAAGTGATGTATAAAAATCACTCAACTTTCCTTTTGGTTTTTATCTTAGAGTATGTCATTAGACTACAAGTCAGTCACTTCTAATTGGTCTTCAGTAAGACATAAACAAAAGACATAGTTTTAAAAATTTGTATGCATAATATTAAATTAAAAGTATTACAAAATGATTATTTTAGAATAATAGTATATTTCATATGGTTTATGGGCCAGATGAAATATGGCTGGTCAGATTTGGTCTGTTGTTCATAGTTTGCTGATATGTGATATAATGCAATAAACAGCCATATAAAATGCATTAGTAATTTCCTTTGGTTTAGGTGAAAACTTATAAAGCATTTTTTCATAAATTTGGTGAATATTTAATAAACTAGTACAGTGATATTTTCATTTCACTTGGACATTTACTGGTAATAAAAATAATTTTATAGGTAGACTTATGTTTAAGTATTATAAAGTATTATATCAAGTGAAATGACTATGATCTGGTAGATTATTGGGCTGCAATAGCAGATCTTTCATTGCATTCTATGGGGTCATGAGATTCCTTGGCTGTGTGCATCTCCTTTTTATGCAGCAGGTTATATTAGATATGATACCAGCAGCATGAAGTAATCCTTGAACTGATCTGTTAAGTGTTTTGTGTCTTTCTCAAGGGAATTCATGAGAGGTGAACATAAATTACTTTGGATAGAATTTGAACTTAGTTCACCAGTTCCAATTTATTTACTGTTAACTATTAGGCCAATTCTACAGTGTCTAAGAATGCACATATATCTTTTTTTAATGCCATGACTCTTCACAGCTTCCTTTTTCTTTGATATCTGTAAATTGCTGTAACTATTCTTTGGAAAGACTGGAGTGGTTTTCTATTACCTTTTCTATGGTTTGGAATAGTTGTTCATTTCCTAGACTGGTTGCCCTACCAAGGCTAGAGAGTTCAGTTTTCCATTGCTAATTCCATTGCCACTAACCATTATACCCAGACAAGTGTGTGTGTGTTTATATAGATATTCTAATCTATTCGATTAAGCTCTTCCAGAACAAATGTTCATTGATGACTGATTGCAAGGGTTTGCAACTTGTGTAAATGTTGAAATTTACAGTATATATAGACATTATTTTTAATTTTTTTTTAGTTATGTGATAGATAAAATTTGCTTAAATCTAATGGTGGCATATACTCTTTTCTTAGTTTTAACTTTTTTGGTACTTGGACACTTTTTGATGAGTCAATTATTCTCTGTAATATTTAATTGTGTTTTAATAATATATAAGCAATAGCATTTCAACAGATTGTTATTTTTTCACTATTCTTTTATGAACATTATACCTTTACATATTATAAAATAGCAGTGACTGTGTATGCGCTGTCAAAGATACCTATGAAAATAATATCATAATATGACCTTGTTTGCATGTAAAATCTGTAAACAATATAACTAAAATTATTGCTTACTGGCGACAAGTACTCTTTCAATAAGGACATAGAATTGGGTATATACGAAAGTTGGCTGAAAAGTTCATAGGCTGACCAAGATACTCTTGTGGAATGTGACCAAATAAGGTTTATTTTTCAACATAGTCCCCCTCTTTGTGGTTCACACACTTCTTCCATTGGTGTTGCAGTGCTTGGATCCCATTGGTAAAGAAACTTTCATCCTGTTGGTAAAAAAAGTCATCAAAAGCAGATATAATGTTATCATCACTGCAATACTGGTTCCCAGCCAGGTGATTTTTCATGTTGGGGAACAGATGATTGCCAGATGGGGCCAAAATCAAGAGAATAGGGAGGGGGATCAACCAGTTCAAACCCATAGTCATGCATAGCAGCCATTGAAACCATATGCTGGAACATATAGTGAACACGATCAATGTTTTCCTTGGTGGTAAAAGTTGTGGGACATCCAGACCTTGGATCATCTTCAAGACTCTCCCTTCTCTTCCTAAATTCAGCTGCCCACTTTTGCACTGTTGAAAAAGTTGGAGTGTCATCCCCTAATATAGCAACCATGTCCAGCATGAATATCCTTGGGAGCAAAACTCTTTTTCTGCAGGTACTTGATAGCACTACAATGTTAAATTTTGTCTATTTTCAAGAGAAGTTGCTACTAGTTACCTATGAAGTCTTCTTTGAACAGTCAGATGTCATTTTACACAGAAAGAAACA